AGACAAGGTCCTGCATTGTTGCAGTTCAGGCTGGACTTCAGTTCACTTTGTAGCACAAGCTGGTCTCAAACTCGCAGTGATCCTCCTGCCTCAGAGTTATGGGATTACAGGCATGCACCACCACGCCTGGCCTGGCTCTGTCTCTTGATAGAACAGGTAAGTTCCCTTCCATTCTAGAAAATCATCTGGGCATATTCATCCCCAGCTTCAAAGTACTAATTTGCCCTGTACCTAAAAGCAGGTTCTGAACTGGTAAACTTCCCATGCTTTTGAAGTACTCCTTTTTTTTTGGTCGGAATCAGGGATTGAACTCAGGCCCTTGAGCTTGCCAGGGAAGCGCTTATTCCACTGAGTCATCTCCCCGGCCCAACTTCCCATGCTTTTGATGGATGCACTGGCTCTGCAACTGAGAGTAATCTGCCTTGGCCGGCTGACCCAGGAGCACATTCCAACAAGGAGAAACAGATGTTCCTGCCTCAAGAATTCTCAAAGCCTAAGGCTAAGGTGGGAGCCTAGAACATTCAGGAGTAAAGTGAGGGGGCACATCGGACATCCCACTACCACAAGGGGCTAGTGCAAATTGGGTGGAATGGGAGGCCCCCAGAAAAATCCATGATCCATCTCTCCATCTTTGCAGCAGTGGCCTCTATCCGGGGGCGTTCTGGGCTGGCCTGTGCTTGTCTCTATCCTGCCTTGTGACATCGAAAGCTCATGTTCACAAATCTGTTAAGCCACAAAATCTAAATCCAGTTGGAAAGAGACAAGTAGATAATGTCTGCTTCATTGGATGGGAATTTCTTTGGGACCTTCATCATTCAGCAAATGAGCTTCACTGTCCTTGTGCCAGGTCCCAGTCTAAACATGGGATGGAGCTGAATTAAAGAATAACTAGATATCCATTCTACCTCTAGGAGGTATGTATTGGGAGTTTGGCCAGATCCCTGATCTCCTATGATGAGTGTATGGCAAGGTTTAAATAAAAGAGACAACCGGGCATGGTGGTGCATGCCTGTAATCCCAGAACTCGGGAGGTTGAGACAAGAAGATTACTGTAAGATTGAGATCGACCTTGGGGCTACAAAAGTGAGCACAGGGCCGGCCTGAACTGCACAGTGAGAACCTGTCTCAAAAATAAATAAGACAAATAGTATGATTTGGGGGAGTCCAAAAGGGTGGAATTCTCTTGGAGATAAGACAAAGAATTCTCTGGATTGCTCTTACTGGATTTCAAACAAGTTGTGGGGAGAAATGTATGGGAAAGTAAAGGAAAAAGCTGAGGCAGGAAACCAAGCAGGACCTTGAGAAGTGAGAACAAAGACTTTTCCAGGGGTACATTTTGCCAATTAAGCTGATTTCTAAGGTTGTAAGTTTATAGATCTGAAATTAGAGTGAGAGCCAGATGCCCTCTGCTGCCTCAGCTGTGGTGTTTTGTTTTCAGAGGGCTGTGGTCAGCAACTTAACTCTTACACAGCCCAGCTCCCAACAGATCTCAGTCCAAACTGGGAGTGAGGGCTGGCCAGATAGCTCAGTGGAATAAGTGCTTGCCTGGCAAGCTCAAGGTCCTGAGTTCAATTCCTGGTACCATCAAAATAAATAAATAAATAAACTCAGAATGGGGGCTGGCTAGATAGCTCATTGGATTAAAGTGCCTGCTTAGGCAGATGCAGGGACCAGGTTTGATCCCCCAGTGCCGGGCCAGCCCTGACCCCAGGTGCACTGAGATAGTGATTGAGACTGGGCATGGTGGTGTGTGCCAGTAATCCCAGTGCTTGGAAGGCTGAAAACAGGAGGATCGCTATGAGTCCAATCTGTGTAGTGAGACCCTGTAGACCCTGTACTAAAGACATGAATGAGTGAATGAATGAATGAATGAATGAATAAATAAATAAATAAATAATAAACTGGGAGTGCTGATGCACACCTGTACTCCCGCCATTCTGGGAGATCAAGACAGGAGGACTGCACATTCAAAACCTGCCTGGTTGGGCTGGAGAGATGGCTCAGTGGTCTAAAGCACCTACTTAGAACAAGCTTAGCTAAAGCATCAGGGACCGCGGTTCAATCCCCCAGCACCACATGC